CATTTTTGCTCTTCGCTGCCCTACGTTAAAAAGGGGTGTTGCATTGACAGGTAACTGATTGGTTGTTTTTCAAGTGAAATGTCAATCTACAAAGTACTCTGTCCTCTTTACAGATATATATTTTCTACCAAACATACACAAAAATAGTAATCTTCGTAGATACATTTTTGTATGTTTGATGTTTTGAAATAGAATATATAGATATATAACGCTTGTCCACAATTGGGCTACAACAGCAGAGGTGGAACGGATGCACGTTTTTTACATGACAAAAGTTTACGCTTGTTAGCCTTCTTACAAAACACTCTGAGGTCAGCGGCGGATCGAATTGACAAGTCTGATTTTCGTGGCAGATATGGGACGGTCAATTATCACACCGCTTTTAGATCTATACTAATAAAGGCTTTCCAGGGTGACAAATGACCGTCCACACCTTCCCTTGTCTCATGGTGTAGGATTCTAGGGGGATAGGGTTGTCATGAATTTAACGTCAACAAGCGCAACTTTCATCTGGCCAGTGTATGCATGCCCTGTCGCTAACTCGTAGCTCGTTTTGCCAACTTTCTCCAGGACACGAAACCTGTTGAGCAGAAAGGCCGCGTAGCGGAAGGACCAGGCATACACGCGCATGCTTCAAAGACGCCTCACATTCTGTACTGCCCTTTCTGCCTGACCATTGGAGGCATGCTGGTTAGTCTCCAGGCTCGTTGTGCCCTTTGTCGGTACTGGTTCGTCTCTGACGAAGCCATCACCAGGCATGTTCCAAACTGATCTGATCTCTCTCGCACCTTGTCCACAGGTCCTTCTTCACCTCTCTCATCCTCACCTGTGTAGGTGTAGAAAAAGTCCAGCTGAGTGACATTCCTTCCGAGGTCAGCCTTGTCATCTCTCTGCTCAAACTTGTCCTCCTTGGCTCTTGTAGCCACACATGCTTGGCACCAAGGAGCATAGGCTATAGGGTAGGTGAGTCACGAAATGAGCCTCTTGCTCCTTGAGAGATGGGAGTCTCGGCTGTCCCAACGCTGTTGGCTTCCTTTGTTGTTCCTCGAACAGCTTGCTGGCGATGACAGCTTCATCTGGTTTTCAAGGTTCACCTTGAAGGCAATCAGTCGGTCGAGGAGCCTTCTCTTGCTTCCACTGTCGGGCAACTGTCTTTCCTTGCAAGCTAGCTCAACTCCTTCACTGTCATCTTCTCAGAGTAGAGCGTCTCATCCAGCTCTACTTCACTCTGCCTCTCAGAAATCACCATCTTTTCAATGTCCTTTGCGTCGATCTGCATCTCCAGATCGTCCTCATTCTCACAGTCATCCTCTGACCAGTCTGTCCTGCCCTGAGCTTCTCTCACCCTTTCCTCAGGCACGGGACGAATGGGAACTTCTGAATCTTGCTCTCAATAGTCTTCCATTTTGGAGGCTGCAAAGAATGTGATAGTTATCTGAGCGCCACCCAAACCGATCTTGCGATAGGCCTGAGATCCTAGCTCCATGTAGTCACCCACATTCTGCACCTGAGTCCACAGACCATCACCCAAGGTCATGGTTGCCTTCCATGTCTCCTCAATCTGACCTCTGGGATCTGTCAGAGCGGTGGCCACTGGGTCGCTGTAGGCCACAATGCCATTTGCAAGTCGATGCCACCCTGGCACCAACTCCATTTCTTTCACATACCTGCTCGCTCTCACTCTCCTCCTCACACACGTCCTCGTAGTTCTCCACTTCGACCATACCCACACGCCATCGGTATGCGTTGTCCTCTGATCCTGAGCCACCTCCAGTCAGGTCAAAGATCTCCAGGCTGTGGGAATCTGGTGGAGTCTGCAATCTTACCATCTTGACGGAGGATGTGGTTGTCACCGTAGATGCTCCTGTCTGGCCTGTCGATGAAGAAGCTCCTCCACTGCCCTCCTCCACTGGTGCCACTGGCTTGCTGCTCCAGCAATCTTTGGCGTAATGCCCAACTTTGCCACAGTTATGGCACGCGCCGGTGACCTGTCTTTCCTTTGTCTTGGCTCTTGCCTTTCTTCCCTTGTCCACCCTTTTCCCACAGGCTCCTTCCTTTGTCACCACTCTTCCACGAGCCTTTGCCTTCTGACTTGCTCTTTCCTTTCTCCTGTCCTTTGGACTTTCCTTTGTCCTTCGACTTGCTCTTCCCATGTCTCCTCTGACGTAGTCCACGTCCATCGGCGCTGCCTCATCCATGCCCATTCTGGTGGCAAACTCAAGCTGTTTGAGCTATCCCATCTTGTTGCCAAGGCCTCCAACTCCATCACTTTGTTCTTCAACTCGTAGGTGGCGGTGTCTGAGATCCATAGCTGGAGATGGGCTCTCAGGTGTGCTGGCACAGCTTGTAGGATGGATGCAACCTTAAGAATTGGCGTCATGAGCATAGTCATGACCTGAAACCCGCTGCCGCTCATATTCATTGACAATGGACTCGTAGAGCGGCAGCTGCTCAGATATGGACTTTCCTTCAGCGAATTGTACCCGAGACAGCTGGCTCAACAAAGCCAAGGACCGGGCTCTTGTGACCGGTTGCATCTCTCGTAGGAGCCTCTGCCAGGCTTCATAGCCATTTTCCTGCCTCATGTGCCTGATCAACTTCAAAGGTCTGTTTCTGAGGTAGGTGATGAGCAGGCTGTACAGGCGGATGGAAGACGCTTTGGCGTCGTCCGTCATCTCATTCAGGTTCTCCTCCACCAACCGCATGCTGTGGGCCATGCCAGGGTCGATGCCCTTCACATAGTTCTCAAAGGAGAACTTCCAGTCACTCCATTGTTTCAGCTCGTTGTCCCCGGTGTCGGGCTTGAAGATGTCTGGGGTCTTCAGATGGCGTGACCACACCGTTGAACTTTGGCTCACGCTCAACTTCTCCAGAGCATTTCTGTAGGCTCTCCTCTGCCATTGCTGCCAGATAGGAGATGTAGGGCCTGTACGTCCTTGTGGTCAAGGTGGGTGTCTTCTCGGGGCTGTTGGCCTCGAAGTCAAAGTAGGCCAAGAGTTGGGCGAAGTCCCAATTGGCCGCCACCAGGTCACTAATGACCTCTTTGTTGGTGTTGTCCCTCAGCTTCTCGATCTTCTCGATGAGCAACCAGCTGTTTCTGCTCCCTGGGTCGCTTCTTTCCCTTCTTATCCTTTCTCTGACCGTCAGTGATGCTTTCACCACCAGGTCACTGCGTGCCCACTTCAGCTTCCCCACGCGTTCCTCGGTCACCACCAGGATGGTGTGGAGGTACCGGATCCTCCCACTTGCTGCTCTGGCGCACCGCGTTCGCACTCTGGTAGTGGCAGATCTCTTGAATGGCGGGATGACCAGCCAGAATGCCACCGAAGAGGATCTTGTGGAAGATCGCGATCTCGACCTGGTGCTTCGACCAGGAATCTTGGCGCCTATGGCGTGGGGTAGGGAGCCGGGCGCTTTACGACCCGGCTCCGCTACCATGCGAAGCGTGTGATCGCTTTTCGCTTGGGCCTAAAAGGTCAAATGGTACATTTCTTGATTTGCGCTCAGGTGTATGGGTGGGTGCACATGCTCATGCCCCACTAGAATCTGACATGTTATATATTTAGCCGGCTACGACAAGAAGACTCGGTTTGCCCCGGAACATTGACAGGCACACCCGCAGGACCGGAACACTGAGCAAACCATTCAAATCCGAAGCGACTGTTGAATTGCATTCTTAAAGTCTTAAAACACAAGAAACCTAAAGAGCCACAGTACGCATTGTCATGTGCCATGTACGTTTTCTTCAGTCGTCAGTCTTCACAGGAGGAAACAGCCAGACGGATCCAGACGGCAAAAACAGAAGCGCATCGGAAGGCCAAGGCACGCTTGCGGTTTGTTTTCCTGGCGAGAAAGGGTCGTAAAGGTGCCTTGAAGGCAGGAGAAAATCAGCAACACTCGGTCACTTCATGTTCTACCCCGCCCAGTTAGTGACAAGAAACCCAGTGATGCGGGGCAGCCACAATAGCACGGAGAAACACTGCTCTGTTAAACAAACAATCTGCCACGTGGTCCAATGGAAATGATTCAAGGGTGTCGGTGTCTCATGATCCCTTTCATTTCCCGGTGTCCTTGCCAATAACCACAGCAAACGTCACAGGTGTCCTGCAACAAACAAGTTTGCGCAGAGTAGCAAACAATAGCATGTACTGTAATCTTCCAAAACAACAGCCTTGAAAAAAATACTGGTTCTGTTCTTTCCGCTTCCCCAGTTTGGTACGCACAAGCCGATTGTGAAACTGGCCGTGATCGAAACGTCGGATGTCCAAGAATTTCGTTTAATGTTCATCTGTCTTTGTTGGAGGTCAACCTAGGCCTGAACAAAAAATAGCCAACAGCAGGCCCACGCTGGCTCTGCTGCCAAACAAAGGCGGCAACGAAAACCGAGAAAAAATCAGGCAGAAAAACATGGCAGTTCTCTGAAGATCCGCTCCCCGGCATCAACACCGAAGAGAAAGGCCCCATCTGCTTGACGTGCCTTGGTGCATGAAAGGTACCTCTCTTTGTCGACAACTGGCAGAAAAATCTGAAACCGTTTTCGTGCCAGAAATTGTACCAAGTTGCTGTCTTTTCACTTGATGCACAAAAGGCTCAACCAGTGCACATGTTTGTGATATCTGGGCATGAACTCTACTGCGAACTCTGCACACTCCTTCTCAACACTTGGAGCATGGTTTTCGTCTCCTCATGTTGCTTACAATGCCGTCACATTCTCCAGCATCTCGAGCTATCGGCTTCTTTCGTAATCAACTTGGATTGCTTCAACCTACACTTGCTTCCTCAACGAAAGTGTATCGCGCCGTCGGTTCAACTTCTCAATCTTGTCCTGTAGCCTCCCATGAGGCATTGCGTTCAGTTCCCTCTTGCGTTCGACGTTTTCTGGGTCTTCTGCTGCCGCCGCACTGCCCTTTGGTGTTCGCGACGCTAGTGTGATGGATGACGCCGTATCACTTTCCACTTGAACTTCTCGTCTTCCAGGCTCCTTCAGCTTACCTCTGCATACTGTTAGGATCCTCTTCTTCCAAGAGCCCACCGTTGAGAATGAGACCACAGTGGATACTCCTGGCATACCTTTCCAAAAGGTCCAAACTCCACACTATGGTCACCTTCCTTTCTTTGGTGGAACACATATTCAAGCTCGGCCGATCTCGTTTTTCCGACCCGGTCATCAATCCATACCCTCTTGATTCTCGTCCTCTTCTCTGGTCGCTCTGACTCGACCCTGCACTTCAGGTGCCTGTTGTCGAGCACGCTCTCGTCCATTGGATGGGTTGGTTCATTTTCCAGCTGATCTTCATTTCCATCTGCGTTATTCAAAAGAACCTCGACACTCTTCACGCCGCCCATGGGGTTCTGTTTCCCTGGACGTCTTGGAGCTGCCTTTGCGTTTGGGATCCCCTTTGCCTTTCTTTCCTTTGCCTTTAGAACATTTTCCTGTGCCTTTCTGGAAGTCGTTCTTGCCCTTCTTCCATTTTCCTTTGTCCTAGATGCGGTCGACTTCCATGGGCACAGGGCCTTTATAATCATTGCAAATTCCGAAGACTTGTTCCGTCAACTTAGGGTGCTTGACGGCGTTACCCATTGCGAGGTTCAAGTAGGACTTCAACTGACCTCCAACACACCTCAAAAGTACTGATGCCTTGAGCTCAACAGTTTGAGGCTGGAGCAGGCTGTTCATCGTGAAAGCAGGCCAAGTCGTTGCAGCAGCCAACAATGCCAAGCCTGGAGCCTTTCAAGTCGGCGTCAAGTGTTGTTGAGACTCCTCCACACATCAAAGCCATTCGAACGCTCACAACCTTCACCACCTTGAGCGCACGGCCTCTCATCAGGGAAGACCAAACAGCTTGATGCACCACGTCTTCTCGTCTGGATCTGCCAAGTGCAATCACCTGGTTTCTGGTGGATCTCTTTAAATGCCTTTTTGTAGCCTTCATCGACTGAGGACGAGCACGTCTCCAACACCCATGACCATTCCCTGAAGACTTTTGTCTTCTTTGCGGGCGTTGTATTCAAACACGCTTGGCTTTGCAGTCAACTTCGACCAACCTGTGCTGCTTCCTTGTCTTCCATTATATATGTGTGCTTCTTGCCACTTGCTCCAAGACTTCTCGAAAACTGCCAGGCACATAAAGGTCACACAGGGATTTGGTTTGATCACAAACACCTTTCTACTCGCGAATACTTTCCTACCAAAAAGAAAACCTGCAATAAAGCTGGCCACTTAACTTATATAATGGGGCGCAAACTTATTTCATGCATTCCTGCAATTTGCCTATTGACCTATTGACCTGGCATGAGCATCAGCCTAGTCCCCACTCGCACTCTGCTTTGTGCAAGTAGCACGTCCTTTGCTTGAATGAATTCTGCCTACAAAACTCCTTCTCGCATCCCATGTTGGGTTCCCTGCACAAAGACGTCAGCACCAAACACCTGAAGATCAGTGTCTTCCTTCGCATGTGGTCTGAGCCTGTGATTTACCCACCGTTCGAAACGAAAACACCATAACTGTTCATTGCTCACAACACCTACAATTACAATGTGCCAGTGGGGCCTGCAAAAATTAAGAGTGTTGGACTTTAAGCTTCCCTCCAAGTTGAATATCACACCCCCGTCCTCAAGGAAGTCAATGTTGTTCCGTCAATTGTCGGGTCTCTGCACTGGGCAAAACCAAGAGTGCAACCTATGTTGGGCCTGGAAGTGGAAGCTGCACAAGCTGGTGGATGTTAAAAAGAACGTTACACCAACCAAAACCTGACGTGCTTGATCTTGCCTCGTGAAGTTCTGGACAGGCTATGAAGCCGAAGCCCGTCTTCTGCGAGAAGGACCTGCAACAAAGATCCTAGTAGCGATGCCCTTTGTTACTAGTAGCTTCTTGCTGCTAGTCTTTCAGGACCGCGCGTCCATTAGGAATGGACACATAGTGTTGATATCCCCTTGCGTCGCGAAGCATTTTGTGCTTCTCCTTTCCGGTCAGAACAAGTCTGCGAACTGCCACCCAATCTCTGAGTCGCCAGCTTTAAAGTGCCCATGGCTCGCTTTTCCTCGGAAGCGACCCCAGGCAATAATTGAGAATTGATGACTTAAGCTTGCGTTGAGGGCAGCCTCTTGCGCCAGAGAAGGAACTGCCAAGTGTCTCAGCCAGGAAGTGCCTTTCGGCCTCTTCCCGCGAACTGCATAGACAGCAACCCAATGTACCAACATGCTCCTGTCAAAACCAGCCAGCACGGGTGAGAGATCAAAAAACAATATTTTTAAACAATATTTTTAACGTATCATTAAAAAAATATTCTACACGCATCAATTAACAAGATGGAGCCCACGAACCCGAATGCAAGCACATTCGAAAAGCTACATATGTCCAAATGACACTCTTGTAGGACACTCTTGTGGGACACTCTTGTGGGTCACTCTTGTAGGAAACTCGTGTGGGACACTCTTACGGGACACTCTTGTGGGACACTCTTGTGGGACACTCTTGTAGGACACTCTTGTGGGATACTCCTGTAGGACACTCTTGTGGGACACTCTTGTGGGACACTGTTGCGGGACACTCTTGTGGGACACTC